GCTCCTGTGGGGCCACGATCCTCGTGAGGGGTGTGCCGAAATGGCCCGAGTCGCCATGCGAACCCTGCCACTGGCGCCTTCGGTGGAGCTCCGTATGGGGCCACGATTTCGCATGGGGTGTGCCGAAATGGCCCGAGGCCGCCATGCGAACCCTGCCACTGGCGCCTTCGGTGGGGGCCACGATCCTCGTGAGGGGTGTGCCGAAATGGCCCGAGGCCGCCATGCGAACGCAGCCACTGGAGCCTTCGGTGGAGCTCCCTATGGGGCCACGATCCTCGCGAGGGGTGTGCCGAAATGGCCCGAGGCCACCATGCGAACGCAGCCACTGGAGCCTTCGGTGGAGCTCCCTATGGGGCCACGATCCTCGTGAGGGGTGTGCCGAAATGGCCCGAGGCCGCCATGCGAACGCTGCCACTGGCGCCTTTGGTGAAGCTCCCTATGGGGCCACGATCCTCGCGAGGGGTGTGCCGAAATGGCCCGAGGCCACCATGCGAACGCAGCCACTGGAGCCTTCGGTGGAGCTCCCTATGAGGCCACGATCCTCGTGAGGGGTGTGCCGAAATGGCCCGAGGCCACCATGCGAACGCAGCCACTGGCGCCTTCGGTGAAGCTCCCTATGGGGCCACGAAACGCCGCACTGGGTGTGCCGAAATGGCCCGAGGCCGCCATGCGAACGCAGCCACTGGAGCCTTCGGTGGAGCTCCCTATGGGGCCACGATCCTCGTGAGGGGTGAGCCGAAATGGCCCGAGGCCACCATGCGAACGCAGCCACTGGAGCCTTCGGTGGAGCTCCCTATGGGGCCACGAAACGCTGTACTGGGTGGGTGAAACGCAGGGAGGAGAGGGGAGGAGGGGGAGGAGAGGAGGAGGAGGAGAGGAGGAGAGGAGACGCGGGCCACCGTCTCTTCACAACGAGGACCCAACACCACAGGATGGTTGGGAAAAAAAAAACAATCAAAAAAAACTAACCCACTAGCAAGATCAATATGCATGACGCGACGCAAATCCGCGAGTTTGAAAACGCAAGAACCGACAGGGACGACACGAGAATTGAGGCCTCGGTGTTTTTTTGCGCAGCGGCAAGATTCCTCGCATGGCCCCGGAAACCCCGCGAAAAATGCAACGGCGACTCTCTGGAATGACTGGCGCAGCGAGTGACGCGTGGCAGCTTGACAAACGGTCGTATGCCGGACATCTTTTCCCGCCGCATCTTTATGGGCCGTTCGATCGTGCGTGAGGTCAAATTATGAGGTGCATTGTTAAAGAAATTGACAATGCCCCTTCTCGAAGGAACGAACACCCGAACAAAACCACTGCTGAATTCACCAGCGGCGTCAACATTGAGACCGCGACGAGCAGACAAAACGGACATGCTATCAGGGCATATGCATGACAACATGTAGTTCGCAACCCGACAAGCAAGAGAAAACAAAGGCTTCAAGCAATGATGATAATGAGACCCCACAGGCCGCATCTTCTTGAGAATGTCACAGTTCTTCAGCCAAACATCGATTGACCCGTGCACATGTTTGGCAACAGGGGGAAGTAAATACTAGTGTAGCGGAAATATCCCTGCTGCTCTTCAAGTTGCCGGTTCACAGAAGAACGCCGGAACGATTGAGAGCACACTTTGTTGCTAAAGCACATGATAGCACGCGCGCGCTCCTGCCAACCTCTTGGGCATAAAACAGCCAGGGGGGACTTGCATTTATCGGCAGGAATATCGATGGCAATGCTGTCGAGCATTCGTTTCCAAGCAAACATGTCAGACTGCAAGATGCCCAAACTACAACACGAACCAACCTGCATGAAACGAGCGTGGACGAGAGAATCAACGAGTGACGAATCAAACGAAACATGGAGGTTACGCTTAAGAAGCTTCCTAGACACGTTGGCCAACTCTTGATTCATGCAACGGTAGAACGTAGAGGCGGTCCAAATGCAGGGTGATTCATGATGCGCGTCAGTCGGCGCGCTTGCTGTCATGGCAGTTCCCTCATTGTATATATTGAGCGAAAGTAAACTGAGCACAATTCGTTCTGTTCTCGTCTGCGTTGCTCCCGGCGGTCATTGCGGCTCAGTCAACAATTCAGGGAAGTTGTCAAAACGAACAAGGCCGAGAAGGATTGCAGCGGCGAGCGTCGCGGAGCCGGCGCACGCGAGGCGTGGCTGGCGGATTTCGCCGAGCGGCGACTGCGCCGGCGGCGGGCGCGGAAATGCCGCGAGCAGGATATCCCAAGAGCAGAGTTCCCAGGGGGCGAGGTGCGTCGACGGAGATGAACGCCCGGTGGAGGGCCAGGGCGGGGCCTAGTGGCAGGCCGGGGGCCGGTTCTGGGTGGGACGTCGCAGGGAAGCCGGCCCGATGAGCAGGATCCCGCGAGAGGGCTCGCGGGGTCGGAAGGGGGAGGGCCTGTCAAGAGTCAGGGTTGTTTCTGGCCGGGAAATGGCAGAGTGGAGGGGGCGAGACCAGAGTTCCAGCAAGGCGGGGGGGGGTCACGGGCGGTAGGGGCTTGGCGGGCGGGCAGGGCCAGGTCTGCATGACAGACTGCCGTAGAATAGGGTTGCCAGGTGGCGGCGGGGTTGGGCGGAAGCTCGGCGGGAGTCAGGGCCGGTTCCGGGCAGGAGTTTGCCAGGCGGGGGGGGCCAAGAGAAGTTTTCGCAGATGGTTGGTGGCGCCGGAAGGGGCGGGGGCCAGGCGGGGGCGCAGTGTCCGTCTGAAGGGCAGGGTTCGAAGAGGGCGGGGGCGCGGCGGGGGAGGGCGGAGATTATGGCGAGGGGACCGGGGTCGGCTCTGGAGAAGCCATTGGCGGGGGAGGCAGGGCAGAGTTCCCACAGGGCGGGGGGCGTCGGGCCGGGCGGAGGCCTTGCGGCGGGCCAAGGTCGGTTTTTCATGAGAGATTGCATGGCGCGGGGGTCCTAAGAACAGAGTTCCCAGATTGCGGGTGCGTGGGAGTGGTCAGGGCTGGTTTCGCGCAAAAGAGATCGCGGGGGAGGTAGGCGGGGTGGAGGCGCAGTGCGGGGCCAGGGTCGGTTCCGGGCGAGAAATTGTCAGAGCTGATCTGGGCCAGGGAAATTAGAGGGTGGGGGGGCCCAAGAACAGAAGTGGATAGCGGACGTGGGAATGTCGAGCGGCCGATTGAGATGCGGCCCCAGCAACACAGGTCATTGAGGCATAAGGACGGCCCCAGGAGAGATAAGTTCCAAGACGGCGGGGATGTTCAGAGGGGAGATTAGGGGCGGTTCTGGCTGAGACATGATAGGCTGGGGCGACCCAAAGACGGAGTTCGCAGAGGGGGGGGGCTGGCGGGGGAGGGGGGAGAGCAGCTCGGACCGAGAATTCGGCGGGCGATGAAGTCCCAAGAACAGATGTCCGAGAGAGCGGAGGGCGTCAGAGGATGGGAGGCCTGGTTGGGGTGAGGGCTGGTTTTGGGCGGGAAACTTCTGGGTGGGTTGAGTCTGGCGAAGGATCAGGGTCGGTTCGAGGCTTTACATTGCAGGGTGGGGCCCCCGAAACAGAGTTTCCAGAGGGCGGGCGGTATCGGGGAGGGTGGAGGCCCAGTGAAAGCTCAAGATTAGTTGCTGTGGGCGAGAAATTGCACGGTGGAGCGCCCCAAGAAGAGGGTACCCAGAGGGAGCGAGGTAGCAGGAGAGGCGGGGCCCTGATCGGGGGCTAGGTGGGTGTGTCGAGGGCGGGGTCGGGGGGGGGGGGGGCGGAATTCGGTGAGCGGAAAGTTCATGACGGGAAGCGTCGGGTGGGGGGGGGGGGGCTGGTGGGGGCAGAGTTGGGGGTTGCGTGACAAATTGTAAGGTGGGCGGGGGTCCCCAGAACAGGGTTCCCAAAAGGCGGAGGCTCTTGTGGAGGGATTGAAGGATTGGTGGGGGGTCAGACTCGGTTCGAGGCGAGAAACTGTAGGTTGGGAAGACATGCGAACAGAGTTCCCAGAAGGCGAGGGGTGGGGGCCCGGTGAGAGGGCAGGGTCGGTTCTGGGCGAGAAATTGCAGGGGCGGGAGGGGGAAGGAGACCTGGTAGAGGGTGAGGGTCGGTCCTGGGCGAGAAATTGCGTGGCGGCTGGTCCCAAGAAGAGTTCCCAGATGAATTGGGGGTGGGGTTTAGGGTAGGGTCTGGGGGAGGACATGTGGACCCCGAGAACGGAGTTTCCACCAGGTGTCGGGGGAGGGTGGAGGCTTGTTGGGGGATCAGGGTTGACTTTGGGCGAAGAACATAATCTGGTGGGGCCCCAAGGAAAAAGTTCCCAGATGGCGGGGTGGATCGGGGGATGGGACGGGGGGCTGGTGATAATTCAGAGTCGGTGCTGGTCGAAAGCACAGGGATCCCTGAAGGCGGGGGTCGGCTCGAGGCGAGAAATTGTAGGGCGGGGAGGGCCCAGGGACAGAGTTCCTACAGGGCGCGAGGTGTAGGGGAGGTGGATGCCTAGTGGAGGGTCAGTGTCGGTTCTGGGCGAGACATTGTAAGGCATGGAGTTCCGAGATTGCTTGGGGTGTCGGGGGCGAGCGAGGCCCGGCGGGAAATCAGAGTCGGTCTGGGGAGACAAGCAGTAGGGCGAGGGATCCCAAGAAGCGAGTTCCTAGAGGGCGGGGGGGTCGGGGAGGGGCGGAGGCTTGATTGCTCGGGGCCACGGGGGGGGGGGTGCATGGACCCCCCCCTCGCCCATTCATCGCCGATGGGTTCCCGACAGCCCACCCCGCCCAGGAACGTGCGGTTTCGTTTTCGGGGGCCTTTTGTCGATCGATCGTCGACGTACCGCCGATTCCAGGTCAACGTTTCCCTCCTGAGCCATCCCCCCGTGACGGCCCGGACGTGACGGAAAAGGCGGGGGAGAGCAAGAGTAGGAGGAGGAGAAGGGGGTTGGAGGAGATGGAGGAGGAGGAGGAGGAGGAGGAGGAGGAGGAGGAGGAGGAGGAGGAGGAGGAGGAGGAGGAGGACGCAGGAGGAGCTGGAGGAGGTGACTTCGGTTTCCCCAGCGGGGTTGCTCCGGCAGGACGAGGTCATCAAGGTGTTGGCCAGAGGGGGCGACATCGACCAAGTCTGGACGCGGCAGGCGGCCGTCCCTTCCTCCCTCCTTCATCCTTCCCCGGCCTCCCAGGATGAAGTGAACACCACCACCTCATGTTCTTGCTTCCTCCTCTTGTCCCTTACTCCTCATCATTAACCCTCCTCCTCCTCCTCCTCCTCCTCCTCCTCCTCCCACCTCAAATGTTCCTGATCCTCCTGCTATGCCCTCCTTTCTCCTTCCACGTCTCCTGTTCCTCCGCCTCCTCTTCCCCACTCCTCTTCCTCATCATCATTATCATCATCCTCCTCGAGTTGAGGAGGGGGAGGAGAGTGGAGCGGGGGATCGGGCGGGGGAGTGTGAGTGTGTGATCGTTGTGGATCAGCCGTGATTGTCTCACAAGGGGCGAAGAAGCACCAGTAGCTTTTTGTTTCGCGGACATGTCACCCGAAAACGAAGATGATGGGCCATCGTGCCATAATATTTTGCCCAACTTCTCGCTTTGGAACTGCAGGGGAGAACGGCTCCGAGCTGAAGCGGGCCCACAGGGTCTTGATCAGCCAAGGGTCCATCAGGCGTTCCTACCACTGCGCAAGCCAGTGGAGACAAACATTTTTAAACAGGAGGATCCAGAATCGCAGCTCCTGAAGTTGAGACTCGACAGTTGCCCTGGCTTTCTCCTCCTCGTCGTCCTCCTCGTCCTTGTCCTCCTCCTCGTCCTCCTCCTCCTCCTCTTCCTCCTCTTCCTCCGTCTCCTCCTCCTCCTCCCCCTTCTCCTCCTCTCCTCTTTGTTAGCCGTTCTGGTTCAGGACAGGTCGCTCTGCTTGCACCCAACCTCTCATCGCTGAGCTTGTTGTCGCTGACATGTCAGAGCGGCTAGGTGACAGCGGGCATTCTGGCTCGGGCACCCCAGCTTCCGTCTCACGGCGGCACCACGACGGGCGCAAAGGATGGAGCGGCAGCTGGTCAGCAGCTTACCCCCGCCGCCAGTGCACTGTCCGCTCCCAACAAGCCCGGCATCGAGCGAGCAGATCATCTAGTTGTGCGAGGAATCGGGCAAGCAGGGCAGCAGGTTAAGACGCAGTTAGGCGAGTTCATGTCCGCGCCCGCTCCTCCTCAGCAGCGAGCTGATACAGCTCACAAGGAAATCGTCAGACTCGGGAAGCGCTTGGACAAGAAACTACGTGTTGCACACGACCTGGAAAAGACTGGCCGACCAGAGAACTCAGTTAGAGTCGACGTTCGAAGAGGTGGACAAGCATGGCCGCGACTGCAAGGCTGCCATCGCGGAGCTCCACCTTTCTGTCGCCAGTTCTGGTGACCAGAACACACCGGTCCCGACCCCATCGGTCAGCACCACTGAGATCCTCGAGGGCCGTCTCATTGAGATGGAGGTGGACGACGATGGGTTGTTCGTCCTGGCTGAGTTCGCTGACGTGGTCCAGTCTGATCTCGATGAAGCCCGACGTCGCAAAGATGAGATGGTAGAACAGACCAAAGCTTGTTGTACCACGCTATCCAGCGACATTAAGTCAAAGGCCACTGGGGTCAAGGCAGCGCACGATGCGCAACAGGACTTCCTCAAGGCCAAGAAACGCAGAGGTGATGGCGATGACGACGTCCGCGGAGGCGGCGGAGATGCAGCTGGTCGTCCTGGCGAAGTTTCGACGCCGCCCGCAGCCGGCACTGCAAGTGTCGAGGCCGCTCCTGCATCCAATGCCGCACCTTTGATGGGCCGATTTTCGACGACCACTACCATAGCTAGGAGAGGAGGAGGTAGGAGGAGGAGGAGGAGGAGGAGGAGGAGGAGGAGGAGGAGGAGGAGGAGGAGGGGCAGGAGGAGGAGGAGGAAGGACAAGAGGAGGAGGAGGAGGAGGAGGAGGAGGAGGAGGAGGAGGAGGACATCCAAACCTCCCTTCTCCCCCGTCCTACCTATGGTAGTGGTGGTGGAAAATTGGCCCATCCACATTCTTCAGGCTCGGGCGGTGGAGCCCCTCATGCCGAAGCAGCTGCCAAGACTGGCGCCCCAGCATCGCCGGACATCCGCGAGGCGGCCCGCCAAGCCACCCCGCGCGGCGGCGCCAGCCCCAACGCTCCGAAGGCGCCGCCGCATGGCCCACCCGCGAAGGCCGAGTCTTCGGGGCGGCACCCCAGGCGCGCCCCCCACCCTTCTTCAAAAATAGTCTAAAAGATAGTCTTGGGACGATTTTCTACTATTTCCAACTATTTCGATGCATGTACTGACTATTTTGAATTGCTCTTCGGAAATCCGCCTTACCCGTTGATGCCTGCGTCCTGCCCAGTTTCGGTTGATCGGGTTGGACCTATCAAGCAGTCTGAGCACGTTGCATCTTCCTGCGGCCAGTTGGGGCTGGAGCTCGCGACGGCCATTGGGACAGCCCAGCGCTCGGTCCGTGGCCCTCTGAACCTAATGGCGGCCTTTGTCGCGTTGCGACAGGAACACGGGCTGGTCTCCAGCGAGGAGATCCGCAAGGCGACGACGGCTCGGCGCAATCGCAGTGGATGGAAAGCGCACTTCGGAGCAGGGGCCCTCAGGCCAGGAAGGGGCACCTCGGCGGGCGTCGGAACGCTCGCTCGTTCTTTCCTCGGCTGACACCCCCCAGAGTTTGGAACCTGTCTGAAAAAGTCGATGGGGCCAGGCAAGTTCTTTTTTGCGTGAGCGTCTGCCTTCAGGCTCGCGCTGGCCTCAACGATTACTCTTTCCCAGCACAGGCGGGGACCTCAGCCTCCAGCCTCAGCCGTGGAGCACCTCCCACGTGCACGACAGGCTCGGGGCGCAGGTATGATTCCCCTCTTGCATTGCGTGCACCTGCAGGTCGACGGCGAGGGTTACGGCGCGCGACTCGACGCTGGTGGAGGCGCGGCTAGCGCGGGCGATTGAGAGCGCGAAGATAATTTTCGATTTAGGCATGGCCGCCCGTGATCCCGCGCCGCTTGAGCTCAATCCCCAGTTAGCCCCCCATCCGCGCCCTCACATTTCGTCGTCAACCTCCCTCTCTCTCTCTCGCTATGTCTCCTTCTCTCTCTCTCTCTCTCTCTCCCCCATGTGTTTCACACACACACACACACACTCTCTCTATATATATATATATACATATATATGTGTGTATATATATATATATATATCACAGCCCGCTCAAGAGTGAGATGTCAACTTTAATTCACCGCAGAGGGAGACGCCGATGGAATCCAGTTCAGTTTGGATGTCCTGCATATGGAAAGGGGCATGGCCGCTGAGAAGGAGTTGGAATGCACATCAACGCATGCCTCCCTTTTCGGGCAGCAGGGGGCGCCTGGCCCAGCTCAAATGGGTTAGCGCTGTCGAGGAGTATAAGTCCATGAGCGGAGTCTCGGCTACTTCCAGTCTGCCGTTCGTCCCAGGTGGCTGGCCAGCAGGCGTCGCCTTTGGCTGCAGTTGAGCGGTCTTGGCGCTTAGCCAGATCACGGTTGCAGCGTTTCGTCGCTCGCCCCAGGAATTGGACAAAGCGATGGAAAATAGAACATGTTGAGAAGACAGCGGGGGCTCGGACTCGCCCTTTTTTGTTGCCCAGCCAGTCGAGTCGGAACAGGCTGCGGCTCAGCGACATTGCGGTTGATGTGCTCAACCCCAGGGCTTCGGACGGGGACCACCTCTCTCTGCCCCAGGTTTGTCTGAACATCACCCAGTATGGTCCAGAAGGAGGCTCATGCGTTGAAGGAGAGCCCATGCACACCCTCGATCCTACTACCCAGGCCCAGGGAGACGCCGAGCAGGAGGCCCGCCAAGATGGCCACGGGCTCGGCTGGAGTGGTTCCGTCAAAGTATCGAGTGCGGTGCCCGACGCGCCCACGAAGTAATGAACAGGGGCCCAGGGTGGACCCCGATCACCACTTCGTCAGCCAAAGGTGAGGCTGCTTCGGACCCTGGTGTTCCTTTGCCTGCTGAGCTCTCAAAGTTTTCCGATTCCTGGCGTGCCCTGGCCGAGGCCGAGGCCCCACGCCTTCGGTGGAAATTTTGAGCCCCTGGAGCCGTTACCCTTCTTACGGCGGATGGCGCTAGGCACGCTGCCCGCTCTTTCCCCACCAGGACGCCTGCCTCTGTCGATGGCTCCCGCGCTCGGAAAGAGTGCGTTCTGTGGTCGCTTGGAGGAGAGGGGGGGGGTTGGAACCGGACCCCACCCCCCGCCCTCCCCTACTTCTCTTCTTTCCCGCTCCTCGGGCCAGCGCCTGCGTCGGCGGCGGCTGGCGGCGGCGGCGGGGACGGCGATTTTCTTTTCTGGGCCAGCGCCGGCGCCTGCGGAGGGGGCGGCGGCGGCGGGGAGCGTCGACGAGGACGACGGTCGTGGTGGTGATAGTGGTGGTGGGTTGCGGTTGTGGTGGTGGCGGGGTTGTGGTGGTGATGGTGTGGTGGTTTGTTGTGGTGGTTGTGGTGGTGATGGTGGTGGTGATGGTGGTGGTGGTGGTGGTGTGGTGGTGGTGTGGTGGTTGTTGTTTTTGGTGGTGGTGATGGTGGTGGCTGTGGTGGTGGTGGTGGTTTGGTGTGGTGTGGTGTAGTGGTTTGGTGTGGTGGTGGTGGGTTGTGGTGACGGCGGTGGTTTGTGGAGGCGGTGCTGGTGATGGTGGTGGTGGTAGTGGTGGTGGTGTAGTGGTTTGTGGTGGTAGTGGTGGTTGCGCTGCTGGTAGTGGTGGCGGTTGTGGCGGTGGTGGCGGTGGCGTGGTAGATTGTGGTGGTGGTGGTTGTGGTGGTGGTGGCTGTGGTGGTGGTGGTGGTGGTTGCGTGGTGGGTTGGTGCTGGTGCTGGTGCTGGTGCTGGTGCTGGTGCTGGTGCTGGTGGTGGTGGGTTGGGGCTGTGGTGGTGGTGGTAGTGGTGGTGGTGGTAGTCGTGGTTATCGTCGCTGCGTCCCCGGCGCCAGCGCAAAGGGGGGGGGGGGGTGAAACCACCTCCCCCCCCCCGGCGCCAGGGGCGGGAGGGAGTTTGAACCGCCCCCCCCCCTCTCGGGCTGCCTCTGGTCATCGTCGCTGCGTCCCCGCCGTCGGCGCTGCTGGCG